CGGTTTATGAATGCCTTGATCACAGTCAGCTCAGCCTACAATGAGTCGGTACTATGGCGGCGAATGATAAAGGTGTTATATGAGATGTGTTTATCCTATTTCTTTTAAGGTGACGAAGGACTGGTAGTTGGATTTTCCCACAATAACATGGAGAGACCTTACATTTTTATTGAATATTGCATAGTCTTGCTTCCCAAAAGGTATTCTCATCCGGGGTGGACTGCGAGTTCGACCTCGCCATGGTCTCATCGATACCCCCCAATGGGACTCAAACTGTGGCAATACAGGGTATAACCTTGACAGGTTAAGTACTATGCCACAACGCCACGAATGCCCTTTGGGTCATAGAGAAGATGTGAATTTCAAGGAAGGCCAGACATTTTCTTATCTCACATTCTTTGGTGGGGTTGCCGATGAAACAGATTTATATTTGCCATAACAATCGACTACATTACTTAATTTTCGTCTCGAAATCCTACTTGTAAATGAAAGATGAAGATGTTATTCTTGACTTCTTGTGAGTGAAAATTCATTGTACAGGTGAGCCTTTGCTACTGAAGCTATGAAAACTGAGTTCTAGTGATGCTTCTCGAAGGACTATATCCTTCTTGAATTAGATTTCGTCGGCGACTCCCACTCCCTGCTGGTGGGATATGCCTCAAACGTGTTTTACACAAAGTCCTCTCATGGCGTGGGAAACAAGTAGCTTCAAAGCTCAGTTTTACATGACTGTTGCTAAGATATCCATCTCTTTTAAGGAGGTGGGTGAGTAAAAGTATTCCAAACTAGTGCCCAGTCAGTAGGAGTGATGTGATTGGGGGCGCAACCATTAATACTTTATTTAAAGCAAACCCTCTAATTATATCCTAACATGTCAGGGCTTAAGTGTCATAACATCGGTAATAATGTCAAACTATGTAATTTAAGTGTGTAGGCATAGGCCAGAAGAGATGTATTTACCCTATTTCGTTGAAGGGGAGAAGGGAGAGGCTAGTTGAATTTTCCCACATTGATATGAATATAACTTAAGTTGAATTTCATACAGCCTGCTGAAGTTGTTGCGCATGCCTTTGACTTGTAAGAATTCGCCTGGTAACCGAAATATTAGTTCACTTAGTATGCATGTTGATGGCAACCATATTAAGGTGGCAAACAAAGCTGAGTATAAAAAGGCTTCGCTTAAAACAATTTCTATAAGACATTTGCAGTCAAATTGTCAAAGTCTATAGAATAAAAGGCCTAGCATATGATTTGCTTTCCACGAAAGAGTAGAATTTCTCAAGAAGCTGTTGCATCCCATGTGAACTTACCTTCAATAAGGCTTTATTGTCCAAATTGGACTGCAGTTCAGACCTTTAATGGGTTTCATCAAAATGTCTAGAGGTTCGAAACCGGGTAGTGCATATCGAACGGCACCAAATGCATCTACGATTGCCCTATTTGGGTTTAATGTGTACATAGTGAGCATACGACAAGGTTATCGGTAGATTTTTTATAGGCATTAGGCATCCACCACAAAAAATAGAAGATAGTGAAGACCAAGATGATGTGGCCTTTAGTGTGGTCGCAGAGTGCTTTCGTTGTATAGAAGTTGTCTAACTTTGTTTACGCAACTTGGTCATATTGGTAGAAAGATTTAGAGGAACGCATCTAGTCCGAAGTCGTCTGCCATACTAATCATAATTCCCAACATCAGACAGTGGACTTGGTACATTTTTAAACGTTTCACTGGCACCATAGTCGGCATCATCAGCGAGTTTTGCCATTCTCCGCACCAACATACGAGCTCGTCAAAGAGACAAGTTAAGTCAACCCTTCCACCAACCTTCTGCCGAAAACTCACTTCGATAAATCGAAAGGAGACAGAGACCATACCGGGGTCACGGCATCTTGGTCTTCATATCTTCTTTTGTTTTAATTGTTAGAACTTCAGCAATCAGACCTTTCGTAGTTTGTAGTCATAATTAGTTGGTTTAGATACTGCCAGAAGATCTTCATTATTCTTCTTCCCTATTTGTACTAGAGGTATAAGGAAGAAAGTTTTATGGTCTCTATTTTGGTCTCATTCACTTTTTGTTGTCTGCAAGTAGTCAAACATAGTTTTTGCATCTTTGCCGTGTTGTCAAGCGACATGACTGTCGTATCTTGTTCAGTCTCCTCTGGCCTCGTAGTAATGATGATCTCCAGTTTCCAACAGCAGACTCGGTACATTCCCAGACGTTTTGCTAGCATCCTCAATAGCCTTGTCTCTTAGTTTAATTGCAAGATTTACTGACGATGCAAAATATTATTGCCATGCTATCAGTCTAAGGGACCGAAGATGATGGATCCATTAGTAGCTATGATGCCCTTTGGGACTGTCGATGAGGCAAACTTATATTTGTTATAGCAACCGAGGACATCAATTTTTCCACGAGAGTAGGTTTTCGAGACTACCCTGTGACCCGAGGGCACTCGTGTCTAGCTTACACGCTGTACTGTCATGGTTTGACTCCCTCTTGGGATAAGAATACCTTTTAATAAATACAAGGCTATGTGAAATTCAATGGACTACATCAGCTTCACTCATATCATTGCGGTAAAATCAACTATCAGTCCTTCATCATCTAAAACGAAATGGGAACAATTTGCTCCACCTTAAGCGTCTTGAGCTTATTAAAGTTCATATGCACAATCTTTCGATAGTACCGAAATCCGCTGGCCGAGTATTTGACATTCTAACCTGCTCATTTTGCCAGCAATGGCCAAAGTATTTGGAGCTATAACACCCAAGGGGTCTAGAAGGATCTGGGACGCGGGTGGTAACCGATGGGCAGAAGTAAATGTCCACACAATATTTTTATCTGAGACGGCAGAGACTTGCAAGAAACTACACAACAATAGGTTCGCATACACTCTTTTAAGAGGAGACATGTGTAGACTCCAAATAAATACTTTCAGCCCGTCTTGATGGTTCACTTGACAAACAAGAGGGTCACAGCAACTAAGGCAATTATCGATCATATCAAAGGGTGAGGAAGAGAATCTGTGTCACCTGGATCCTCAATTCTGTACTTTTTTCTGTCCATATTGGCGAGATCATGTAATACATACAGACGAGTGTGCTTGTATGTCTCAAAAGAGGCCAGAGTGTGCTGTTGTCGACACGTCGACAGAAGAGGCAGAGACTGAGAGCGAGTAAGCGGGAGAGAGGAGGATAGAGAGAGCGGATTGTGAAGATATTAGGCCAGGGAGTGGGGCTCGACACCGCACTGCAAGGAGGGCGGAGCCTGTCTGAACTGTATCCTCAACATGTCGGGCAGCCTGTAGCCAAAGTGACATTCACACAGGACGCTTGAATGTACGCAAACCACACGCCAGGCCCAGCCGAGCCGGCCAAAGGGCCAATTTGTAGACGCACACGTCGACTGAATCCGGCCCCGAGGTCCGGCTCACTCGTGGAAGCGGTGAAAGTGATTCATGCCGGAGCGAGACTGGAAAACGACCCCTCGGTTGGTGTCCGAGGCGGCGGGCTGGACGGGCGGACGAGGGCGACGAGTCAGGCTGACGGTGTGAAGAGGGAGGCTCGGGTCAGGCCAATCTTGGGTTCACAGGCGAAGAAGAAGTTGCATGTGCTGGGGCGGCGTCACCGCCAGCCACACCATCGAAACCGCACAGACGGAGACAGGACTACCGACAACAGCCTG